AAGAAGAAGAAGAAGAAGAAGAAGAAGAAGAAGAAGAAGAAGAAGAATTATTTAATCTCACCAACTTGTCATCTGCAACCTGAATTAATGACTTGGATGCACCAGTGTTTCATTATATTTATCTCACTATGAACATGAACATGTCTGGTTACTAAAAACTGGTGGCAAGTAAACTAGTGGGGTTAACACCCAAGACTTCCGCCATCCAAGGTTCCAATCACTGGCCACACAGAGTAGCTCCCATTTATCCTCTCCCTTGATCTTTGAGAAAAGGCATCAAGCCACATCTCCTTCCTTGGGTGTCTTAAACTATTTTTTCAACACTACCTCCCTGTGAAAGGGATTGACACTCTCGAATTTGCCTTTTTAGCCACACTTGATGCTGTTTTAGGTCCTCTTTTCAGAGCACGATACCATAGTCTTTTGAGACTGAAGGATGCCAATGATGGGACCTGGGGCAGAGCCGCAATGCCTTTTAGCCAACAAATGCCATAACAACACTAAGAATAATGAACCGTAATTGCCTGGCAGACAGAGGCAGCCATGGTATCCTCCATTGACACGATGGCAGGTGCCCCCGTGGAGGCAGATCTCCGAGGAACAAGGCCCCCGTCGGTACTGGCAGAGAGGACCAGAGAAGTTGGATGGGCACAAACAGCGGAAGGAGCCGATGCTGTTGATACAGCTGCCCCCGTTGAGGCAGGGGCTGGGGGACGCAAAGCATTCGTTGATGTCGTGTTGGCAGGTGTGCCCTTCGAAGCCTGGCCAGCACTGGCAGACGATGAAAGGGTAAGTGATGACGCACGTCCCTCCGTTGGCACAAGGGTTGGCTGGGCAGAAATCCATCAACTGGCAGTTCTTCCCTGGAAGAGAAATCAAAGTCAACGTGGTTCACAGCTTCTCCTCCAGACTGGGAGAGGACAAGTTCATCCAGCATCTTCTCAAAACGAAACTGTAGGGCGCTGCCCACCGGAACAACTAGACACAAAGACAGTTTCCCCCCCGAAGGCCATCACTCTGCTAAACAACTAATTCCCTCAACACTGTCAACTTATTTACTAAGACTGTATTTACTATTCTTCTTCTCATCCTTCCTAGTGTCTATCTCTTCCCACTTATGACTATAACCATGTTGTTTCTATCTTTACAATTTATATTGTTTTTATTTGTTTCCCAGTATGATTTGATTGCTTATTAGTAACCTATGACCCGTGGTGGGATTCCAATTTTTTCACTACCGGTTCTGGTGGGCGTGGCTTGGTGAACGTGGCAGGGGAAGGGATACTGTAAAATCTCCACTCAGAGGTGGTATTTGCCAGTTCTCTGAATTATTCAAAATTTCCTCTACTGGTTCTCCAGAACTGGCAACAGAACCTGCTGAATACCACCTCTGCCTATGGCTATCATTAACTGTTGTATCTTATGATTCTTGATGAATGTATTTTATTTTTTCTTTATGTACACTGAGAGCCTATGCGCCAAAGGCAAATTCCTTCTGTGTCCAATCATGCTTGGCCAATAAAGAATTCTCTTCTCTTCTCTTCTCTTCTCTCTCTTTTCTTCTCTTCTCTTCCCTTCCCTTCCCTTCCCTTCCCTTC